GGGATTGACAAAATGAACCATGACCTTGATGGAAATTAAGGAGAGGGAAATACTTGCCTCCTTCCCAGGAAATAAGAGCTCTTATTTCTTTGTCAATCACAGAATGACATGTATGTAGAGATTTTTCTTTTGATGTTTTTCATGAATTATTTTTGTCTATGTGTCAAACTGTAATTTGCATAAAGTAAGAATGTCTCTTTCCAGGGAGAGAGAAGCAGTGTCCTTAAGAAGAGGCTAAGATAACACGCATCACCACCACAAGAACAATAATATTTTCTATCTTAGAAAAAAAAAAAAGACCAATTAATAATATAGAAATTAACACCAAGTAAACGATATTATTTATTATCAACAATGAGAAATAGATAGATACATAGCACTCATTTAACAAGCACACATAAGCACTCAACAATTATAACATTGTTGAGATCAAACCTCACTCATAACAGATAAGTAAAATCACAATATATATAAATATAAAATATAGTATTTATTTGTAGATTTAGAAGAGATGGTGGTGCTTCTTTCCATGAGACTCTTCCTCTTCTTCCTTTGCCTCTTTCTTCTCATGATGCTCATGGAAGGCAAACCCACCAGACCCAACTGCAGCTGCTGCAGCAATCTCCTCCTCTATCTTGTGCCTGTGAGCATGCTCTGGGTCTTTCTTTGACTCGTGCTTCTCATGCTGCACATCACATCACATCTCATGGTCATTATTAAATTAAATAAGAGTTAATTAATTAGGATCTGGTATTTTAATTGTATTATATGTCTCATCTGGATACCATTTTGTGAAATTATTTCTGGGGCAGATCTTAATTACATTAGTCTCAGAAAAAACCTGGAAATGAACAGACATTTTGTGGCCTCACATAACTTAATCCATTTGATACTTGAGAAGATTTACGTTTCACACTTCTCTTGCTATGTTGACAAGGCCTAACAAGCTTAAAAGCATTCGGCCTGCTTCGTGGAGAAATTCTTACATACAACCGTTGTATACAATGATCTGCTTACTATGCATGATTAATTAGTTATTGGGAGATGAGCCTAGAAAATGTAAGAATTTCTCTTTTACTCCATATGTATCGTGAGGAAAAGACCAGGCAATTGCCTTGATATGTCCTTGAATTAAATCTCACCACAGTTTTACCAAGAAACCGACCATTCAAATAATTGGCCTGACGTGGGTGGCCCTTATAATTGGTCTCTGAGCAGAACTTGTCTGAAATGAAATGATGCCCTCCATTGAGAAAGCGTGTGCTTACTGTAACTACACGGTTTCAACCTTTTCTCCCTCTCTCCCTTTCTCTCTCCCTCTCTCTCTGTGTCTGTCTGCTGGCCACTACTTGTATCTCCTCTTTTCTGAGGCTGTTAGCTTTGCTTGTTCTTGTTAATTTCTTGGCTGATCTTGAGAAGTATTTTTTGTGGGTTTTGGTTGGCTTGCTTCGTCTACATTACCATATCTGCTTTGTTCAGGTAACATTAATTAATAAGCTAAAGCATATGCAGTTTATAGTTCACTGCTGTAGTGATGAGGCTTTTCAATGCCAACACAGTTGTTTTATAGATGTGGTATTTTTGTCTCTCTGCGGTAATATCTTTTGTTAACCACGCACTCTGTGCAAGATAAGATTTTTCTTATCTTTTGAATTATTGGTCTAGGTAGGAGAGGTTAACAATTCTCACCACTACACGGTTTCCAAGTCTCTCTCTTTTCTGAGGCTGCTAGCTTTGTTTCTTCTTGTCGGTTTCTTGGCTGATCTTGGGAAGTTGTATATTTTGTGAGTTTCTGGCAGGCTTGCTGGTCTTACAAATTCTCTGGCTTTGTAATTTTTTCGGTGTTGAGGTAACACTAAGCTGAACTTGTTGGCTTGCTTCGTCTACATTTCCATATCCGTTTTGTTCAGGTAACATTAACTAAAGCGTATCTGTTTTGTTTTAAACGTTGATAACATCATGACAAGACGACCATTGCAAGCTATTTATCATTTACCCAAATCTGCTTCCTCAACGTCGTCCTTATTTTTCCTCTGGATTACTAAATTTTAATCCTTTTCCTTGTGCAAGCCATTTATCATCATCTTCTATTTATTAGTTGAGTGTTTGGATTTTAAAGATTTAATTAGCGAAAGCCTTATTTTCATCGAGTGTTTACAGCAGCAGCAGATTGCCAAATGGCATTGATGAGCACCCAAAGAGATTCTGCCTTTCTTCCTTCAGCTCATCAGTCTGCTCCTCAACCGAACCACGATGTGTTTTTGAGTTTCAGGGGTGAGGACACTCGAAATAGCTTTGTATCCCATTTATACCACGAATTGCAGCTCAGGGGCATTAAAACATTCAAGGATGATCGTGAGCTTGAAATAGGGACACCTATTTCTTCAGAGCTCATCAAAGCAATCGAAGAATCAACGCTTGCAATCGTTGTTCTCTCGCCAAATTATGCATCTTCTTCCTGGTGCTTGGATGAGCTTACAAAGATTCTCCAATGCATGAAATCCAAGGGCACAATTCTGCCAGTGTTTTATCATGTGGATCCCTCCGATGTGAGAAAACAAAGCGGCAGTTTTGCGGACGCCTTCGCTGAGCATGAGAAAAGGTTTAGGGAAGACATCGATAAGGTGAAGCGCTGGAGAGATGCTTTAACAGAAGTAGCCAATTTATCTGGGATAGATTCAAAGAATGAGTAAGCATGAATGAATGAACAACTTCTCTATATGTCTTAACAAAACCCATGGCTTATATTTTAGACTTCACGATCCTTTACTTTTCCTCCTTGTAGGTGTGAAAGAAAGCTTATTGAAAATATTGTTGAATGGGTGTGGATGAAAGTACATCGCAGATTCAAATTGTTAGATTCCAGAGAGTTGGTGGGAATGAAGTTTATACGTGAGCACATAGATTTGCTTTCAGCTCGTCCTACGGATGATGTTCGCTTTATGGGGATATGGGGGATGGGCGGAATTGGCAAAACAACCATTGCTAAGCTAGTATATGATAGCATTTCTACCCATTTTGAATCTAGCAGCTTTCTTGCAAATGTTAGAGAGGTTTCTCAACGTGGTTGTCTTGTTGATCTACAAAGACAACTTCTTTCCCCAATCTTAAAGGATCAAATTGCTCAAGTTTGGGATGAACAGTGGGGAACCTCTGTCATTAAGAATTGCTTGTATAATAAAAAGGTTCTTCTCATTCTTGATGATGTGAGTGAATCAAGCCAACTTGAAAAGTTGGCTGGTGAAAAGGATTGGTTTGGTAAGGGGAGTATAATCATTATTACAACTAGAGATAAAGGGTTGCTAGTTAAGCATGATATGCAGGTATCATATAAGGTAGAGGGATTAGGTGATGATGATGCTCTTGAGCTCTTCAGTCGGAATGCCTTTAAAAAAAATGAGCCTGAGGAAGGTTTCTTGGAATTGTCCAAGGGTTTTGTAAATTATGCCAGAGGCCTTCCACTAGCTCTTAAACTTTTGGGATGCTTAGTGTATAAAAGAGATCAAGATGAATGGAAAAGTGAATTGGATAAGCTGCGGAAAATTCCTAAGTCAGAAATTATTGATTTGCTCAAAATAAGTTACGATGGGCTAGATGAGATGAACAAGGATATATTTCTTGATGTTGCATTTTTCCATAAGGGGAAGGACAAGGAGGAAGTAATTGAAATACTAGACAGTTGTGGCCTATGTGGTCATATTGGGATAAATGCTCTTGTTCAGAAATCACTCTTAACCATATCACATGGGAATGTTGGGATGCATGATTTAATACAAGAAATGGCATTGGAAATTGTTCGTCGAGAATGTCCTGAAGAGCCTGGTAGACGCAGTCGATTGTGCAATCATGATGATGTCTCTCATGTATTCATAAACAATACGGTAAGAAATTACTTAGAAAATACCGATTTTTGGAAGAAATATGATTTATTTTTAAACTGAAATTTGACTTAAATGTGCAATTAACTTTTCCTTTACTATTCTTAATTACAGGCAACAAACAAAATTAAAGGCATTGCCTTACGCATGGCGAGACTTGAAATGGCAAATTGGAATTGTGAAGCATTCTCTGAGATGTGTAACCTGAAAGTTCTTGAATTTTACAATGTGATCATTTCTTCAAGCCCCAGAATTCTTCCTAATTCCTTAAGAAGTATCCAATGGAGTTTGTATCCTTCCAAATTTCTCCCATCAGATTTTCAACCGAAATTCCTTATTGCACTTAAGATGCGTCACAGCAAACTTGTTCGGCTTTGGGATGGAAGAAAGGTAAGAGTAGGGACCATATGCCATTCTAGAAATTAGTTATTAAAAAAAATAAAAATCTGAGCTAATTATCTATTCTACAATTGTTATGAATTGTACAGGACTTGCCCAACTTGAAAGAAATGGACCTTTCTCACTCTGAAAACTTGACCACAACCCCAGATTTCAGTGGCATTCCGAATCTTGAGGTGTTGTATTTTGAAAGTTGTAAGAATTTGGTTGAGATTCACCCGTCAATTGCAGATCTCAAATGTCTTAAAAGGTTGTGGCTTTGCTTTTGCTCAAAATTGAAAAAGATTCCAGAATTTTCAGGGCAAATGAAAAATTTGTTCTTTCTTAGGCTAGAAAAGACGTCCATTGGGAAATTACCTTCATCAATAGGATGTCTGGTTCGCCTTACTTTTCTGTTTCTATATGATTGCAAAAATCTCGCGGGTCTTCCGAGTGAAATTTGTAATTTGAAGTCTCTTAAAGAACTGAATGTGGAAGGATGCTCAGAAATTGACAAGCTCCCAGAGAACATGGGGGAGATGGAGTCTCTTACATTGCTTCAATTGTATGGAACTTCTATAAGACAGCTGCCACGCTCTGTTGTTGGTTTGAAAAAACTAGGCATGCTAGATTTGGGTAGAAGTGGATCACCCAGTTTATTTCAAAACAGAAATGGTTTTGTGTCGGCTTCGCTTGATGGTTTATTCTCTTTGAAGAATTTGAATCTGAGTAATCGTGGACTTTGGGAAGGGGGTCTTCCCAGTGATATTGGCTGCTTGTCCTATTTAGAAGTATTAAAGCTTAGTGGAAACAATTTTGTTACCCTTCCTGCAAGCATTGGATGTCTTTCTAAGCTTAAGGTATTTTGGGTGAATGGGTGCCAAAGGCTTCAACAATTGCCAGATCTTTCTAAGCTTATCTCATTAGTGGATGTAGACATAGCCGGTTGCACTTCCTTAAAAATGTTACCACATCTTTCGTCAAATTGCTCATTAGTGTATATAGGCGAAAAAAGATGTTTTCTAAGCCCTTTCTTCAGGGGCTTCAGCAACTACGAAATACGTTTTCGTGTTAGTTTTAATTGTACCAATTGCTTTGTATTGGTTGACAATGAAGGCAGCGATAGTATAATACTGAAAATGCTACAGCGATACCTGCAGATTCCGCTTCTGCTTCAGTTGGAGTTTCAGCTTCAGCGTAAGGTTCTCTCTCTCTGTCTATCTCTCTTTTGTTGTTTGCTATAATAATAATTACAACTTACTAACCTCATATATATATCTATGTATATGGTACAGGACCTACATGCAATCCGTGGCCCTAGTTTCCCAATCCTCTTCGAAATTGTAACTCCTGGAAGGAAAATTCCAGAGTGGTTCAGTAATCAACGTTTGGGAGCTTCCCTAACTGTGGAGCTACCTCTGGATTCATGTACCACGTGGATCGGAATTGCTTTATGTGCTGTGTTTGAAGTTCAGGCTGATATTCCTGAATTTCATTATTTTCAAATTAAGTGTCGCCCACTTGGATTAAGGGGACATATATTATTTTCAAAAGATTTTAAAATAGGTGATTTTGTGTCAGATCACCTTTGGGTAATTTATGTATCTCGTAAACAATTTCAGAAGATATGCGGTCAGAAAAAGGGAAAGCTTTTTTTTAATGTTCAGTCTCATCATTATTTTAAAGGCGGAGTGTCGATAAGCTCAGTGTCTTGCGCAAGTGTGAAGAAGTGTGGGTTTCATTTGGTGCACGAGCAAGATGTGGAACAACTCAACCAGATCATGATGAACAAATCCATCATCAAGAGCACTACTTCTTGTCCTACCAAATCAGCTGATGCACAAGGTCAACAACGCCACGATGACGAGGAGGCTAGTCCTAGTGGAAGTGGTAGCTCTCACCAAAAATCTCTCTTCTGCAATACCCATGCTCTTTCCGAAGATGCAGACCAAGATGAATTAAATGATGTTGTTGACGAAGCTCGGCCCAGAAAGAAAAAAGATCGAAGTGATTGGGACTGACCTATGATTCCTCAATTTCAAAGCAAGAGGCATCACAGCTGCTGCGTTTCAATGTGAGTTGCTGCTTTTGCTGATTCTACTTTTCATTTTGTAGGAGAGGAGAACAATTTATCTTGCTACTTTTTTTTTCCATTGCATATGTATGTATATGCAAGATTTATGATGCAAATAAACAGGACACACTGTAACTATTTTTTGTTTATGCATAATTACAAGACTACTGCTGTTGAAGCCAGCCAATTGTGTCCTGCAGTCAACTGAAATTTGGGTTCCTGATGCCATGGTCGATACTGGGCACACTGCTAATGTGCAACTTGAACTGATTGAAAGTAGTCGTGTACTTATTCGCCAGGTTCGCATGAAATTTGCACCTTAAGATCACCTACCTGGTTCTTATTGACACAACTTATGTGACTATTTAAACTGCCCTGTTTTATTTTGTGCAGGATGGAATAAGACAACAAGAATTCTCAATCAGACCTGTAAACATTTGCGTTGAATCGATCTAAAACCGACCAATTGCTTTGTCGGAACTCCTCCCCTGTCTGCTTCATTGATCATCTCTTTGATAGTTTATACTTTATACAATCTCTTTCACTTATGCACTCTTCTCTTATTTAGCATCTCTCAGTTTTAAATTGTTCAACAGACATGAGTTCTGAGAGGTTCATTAACATCAGAATATGTTGAGCAGAATTTGGCAGATCTAGTTCTATTTTGAATAAAACTATAGTAACTTTTTATTTGGAGATTGGTGATTTATGAATGAGAAGTTGTCAATCTTGTCAAAATGTACTCACAGTTCCACAAAAGCAGAGAATGTAGTCGTCATATTAATATTCACACAGTAGTCTGTCTTGATGACAACATTTTCACGCTAGGGAAATCATTTGAGAGGCAATGATTTTGGAGCTATTA